TGTGCTGTCGTCTGCGATGCGCTGCGCTGTGCTGTCGTCTGCGATGCGCTGCGCTGTGTTGTCGTCTGCGATGCGCTGCCGCTGCGTTGCATTCTGTCCTGCATGCTGCGGCTGCCTGCTTGCGCTCCGCACGTTGCCCTCACCCCTGCTGACCTTGCCCCGGCCCCCCAGACGCGCTCCTCACCCTCATCCGCGACACCCACACGCCGCGCAGCGACTTTATCTTCTACTCCGACCGCGTGATCCGCCTCGTCGTCGAGGAGGGCCTCAATGCGCTGCCCACGCTGCCAAAGACGGTCGTGACGCCGACGGGACGCGAATACAGCGGTGCGTGCGGGCGAGGAGGAGGGCGGAAGTGAGCGACGGAGGAGGAGGGCGGAGGTGAGCGACGGAGGAGGAGGGCGGAATTGAGCGACGAATGGCCAAGGCGAGCGCCGAGGCGGTGCAAGAGGCGCAAGAGCGAGAGAGAGCGCCGAATGGCCAAGACCAGCGCCCGAGGGGGCGCGAGAGGCGCAAGAGGCGCAAGAGCGAGAGTGAGCGCCGATTGGCCAAGACCAGCGCCCGAGGGGAGAGGCGCAAGAGGCGCAAGAGGCGCAAAAGCGAGGAGCTCGCATCTCGCCTCTCGTCGGCGCGCTCTCGCTGTCGCCGTCGCCGTCGCTCCGCCTCGAGCTCGAGCTCGCTCCTCATCCATCTGCGCGCCGTCTCGCCAGCTGCGCCCATCTCGCATCTCGCGGCTCGCGCCTCGTGCCGCGCGCGCTCACACCTGACCCTCTCCTGCAGGGCTCTCGTTTGAGGGCCGCATCTGCGGCGTGTCGATCCTGCGCGCGGGCGAGGCCATGGAGGGCGGCCTGCGCGAGGTGTGTCGCAGCGTGCGCATCGGCAAGATCCTGTGAGTGCGCGAGGAGAGGCGCTGCGAGGCGAGGCGATGGCGAGGGCCAGGCGAGGGCCAGGTGAGGGCGAGGCGAGGGCCAGGCGAGGGTCAGGTGAGGGCCTGGCGAGTCCACAGTCTCGCACTTGAGGGCCAGGCCAAGGTGGGAGGGCTGCGCGCGTTGGCAGCATTGCAGAGCGAGGCGACTGCGACTGTGAGCAACGCCAGCAAGACGAGCAGACCGGGCTTGGCGAGACGCGCCTCTTGCTTCGGCCTCCATCCGAGCGTCCTCCGACTGACCCTGTCGGACTCAGGATCCAACGAGACGAGGAGACCGCCAAGCCGAAGCTCTTCTACGCCAAGCTGCCGTCAGACATTGCACAGCGCTGGGTCATGCTTTTGGATCCGATGCTCGGTGCGTCGCCCTTCTCCCCCTTGCCCCTCTCCTGCTGACTCTCCTCGCTCGGGCGGCTGCAGCAACCGGAGGCTCGGCCATTCAAGCCATCGAAGTGCTACTGTCGCACGGCGTGGCGCCGGAGCGCATCCTCTTCCTGAACCTCATCGCCTCGCCTGAAGGCCTGCAAAATCTCTATGCGAGATTCCCGCAGGTACAGTGCGTCACTGCGTGGATTGATGAGGGGTTGGACGAGATGAACTACAGTGAGTCGCTGCGAGGGGGAGGGTGCGGAACTGAGGTGCCGATACCTGGTGCATTCGCTCGGCTTGACGCTCACACACCCTCTCTTGCGACTCCCCGCAGTCGTGCCGGGCCTAGGAGACTTTGGGAATCGCTTCTACTCAGGATGATCGTCGAGAAAGCGCGGCTCTCGCGTCACCGGCTCTCCCGACCATCCGGCCACCCGATTCGCACTCTTCTGCGCTTTGCCTCGCGCCGCCGCTGCGCCTCGTCACAGGCCGCGCTCCGTGGAAGGGCTTGGGCATGTGAAGCAAAGGGAAAGAGGCTGCATTCGTGTACATGAGGAGGAGGAAGTGGCGCAACTATGAGGTGTATCAGAGAATCGTGAGTGACGAGGAAGAGAGGACGTAGGACCGATCGGCAGCTGCGCGCTGCTCGGCTTAGGCGTTCTGGAGCTTCGAGCCGCTCGCCTCGGGCAGCTTCGAGCCGCTCGCCTTGGGCAGCTTCGAGCTGCTCGCCTTGGCGTCGGCCTCGGCAGGGCGCGGGCGCTTGCCGCGGGGCAGGCCGCTGCGGCGGAAGAGCGTCGGAGCGGTCGTAGGCGCGAGCATGCCGATGTCGGCGTAGTGCTCCGCAAAATGGGTTGTGAGGAACTGGCCGTAGAGGACCTCGTGCGAGTCCTTCGACTTAAAAATGTGCATGCGGGGTTCGAGGAGCTGACCGCCGCCGACGTCGACGTTGCCGCCGGCCGTGATGCGGAACCAGGCGTAGTCGCCCACGTCGAGATCCACGCCGTCGAGGTCGAAAGTGATCTTGCCCCCGAGCGTCTTGCCTGCGCGGGTGCGCGCGAACGAGCCGACGGGGAGCATTGCATAGGGCATAGGCCTTGTTGCCTTGCCCGAGCTGAAGATCTCGAGGAGCTTGCCGTGCTGAACAAATGACGCCAGGCGCGGTTCGAGTGCGTCGAGGTCCGGCGGCAGCACGTCGCACGCCAAGTCATACATCTCCTGGCTTGACATGGTTGCGGCCACGCCCGTCGGCTCGAAGCGCTGCACCGCATCCGGGGACGCCGCCATGGCCAAGCACTGAGGGCCCGTGCTGCTGCGGTAGACCTTGAACGCACGCTTGTCGTACGAGAGCCAGATCATGTCGCCGGGCGAGAACGCGTTCCTGTCCGAGAGGGTGACTCTGGTGCCGTGGAAACTGACCGAAAGATAGCCGCCGCCGTCCTCACGGACCATGACCTCGTGACGGCCATCCTCGGCAATGACGGAGAGCTCGGCCTTGACGTGCGTAGAGCAAAACGGGCCGAGCAGACTGTTCAGTCCGGCCGGGTTACGGCCGTCGTCGTAGAGTGTGCCCGCAGCAAGGATGGCGACGCCCTCGAGGATCTCCAGTTGGCTACGGAGAGAGTACTTGCCGGTGACGGTCTTGAGTGCGTCGGCCATGCTGAGCTCGGCAAGCACGATGAAGGAGACGACGAGGCCGTGCTTCAGCGCGCCGCTGGCGTGGCGTGTGGTGCGGTAGGTGCGCATGGCGTCGCGCGCCGCGGGGGACTTGCTCTTGGAAAGATGTTGACCCTGGTTGCAGTGGTCAGCGCTCAAGTGGGCCAGCAAGGGCAAGACCTCAATTCACCTTGCGACGTTTGAGATGATCTGTCAGTCCGCCGTACAGATACGTCTCCTTGAGTCCCTCGAGTCCCTCCTCGAAGGCGACGAGGTAAATGCCGGGAAGCGCGCCGGGCTCGTGCTGGTATCGGCGCTCGTGCGCCAAGGCGGCGTGCAGTGCCTTGCCCTTGTCGCCCAGCTGCGCGTGCGCATCCTCCTCGTTCTCCGAGAGTGCTCCCAGAACGCGCAGACCGCGAGCGGTGAAGAGCGCGGCGAAGGCGTCGGGCTCGTTGCGGCACATGTCGATGTACGTCTCGAGCCACCAGTGAGGCGAGCCCTCGATGGTGCTGGCGGCTGCGTGGGCAAGCGTGAGCAAGGGCTGCTTCGCTGGCGCTGATTCACTCACGCCAGACACGGTTGACGAGCAAGTACTTGAGGTGCTTGAGGAAGTCGGGCTGCGCCATGGTGGCGGTGCGATGGCGAGCGCCGAGAAGACGACGAAGAGCTGGCGAGGCGGCGAGAAGACGACGAAGAGCTGGCGAGGCGGCAAGAGCAGAGGGGCCGAGCAGGGAGAAGATGGTGGACAGTTTGCGAGGCGGTGAGGAGGGAGAGAGCGAGAGCGTGGGCGACCGTGCTTAAGAGGAGCGCGCGCGCGGCGTTGGCTGCCGCTTCGGCAAGGCTTGGCCGTGCGGCCTCCCTCTGCTGGCCGGCGCCGCAGCATAGACGCCGAGAGCGCTCGCCTCTTGCGCTCAAGGGATGCTGGTGGACCACGCGGTGCGGCATCAGGAACACCCACTCTCTGCACGCTGACGCCGGCGCGGCGCTCGGCGTGACGCTCGGCGTCGCGAGCAGGCGTCGCGGCACGACCACGGCTGGCATGCACGTCGCTCGCTGCTGGACGAATCTCGCCAGAAAACAGAGTGCGAGATAGCCAAGGCACACCTTGCAGACGTCTGTGACGGCGGACAAGGCAGATGCGTCGTCGTTGCGACGCAGGCTGGAGGCATGCGTCTGGCCTGACGAGGCGCGAGCAGCCATGATGCTCGGCGCGCCCGGTGCCGGCGCGACGTCGCGCCGGCGCGCGGCGTGCCCCCTGAGGCGCCCGCCGCGTTCGGGGACGCGGCCGTGCGCCTCATGCGCTGCGCTCTGCGACGCGGCCTGAGAGGCACGCGCCGCTGCGCGCCGCTGCCCGTGCGCACCACGCTGCGGCAGCACCCTCGCACTCGGCCAGGCCCCGGCGCCATCGCTCCGCCTGGCCGCAAAAACGTGGTCTCAGTGACTGCTGGACCATCGTAGCTCGCACAAAAACTCAGGGATAGCGAGAGTTGGCTTTTCGAGGGGCAAGCCCAAAAAATCAGGTGGACTGGCCTCGCATCGTCGCGCAACGGCATGTCAAAGGATGCCGGAGATGAACGTCGAGCGCGTGTCTTGGCTCGGCGCCGACGCGGGGCCGGCGGTGCCTGAGCGCTGGCCGCTCGCCAGCGCCAGCCACAGCCGCAGCGCTGCGGGACTGAGCGCTGCGTGCCGCTCGCTCGCGGCCTGCTGATGCCTCTGCCTATCTCTGCTGCCCAGCACCCGCGCTCGGCGTCTTGCTTGGCCGCTGTGGGGCCAGGCGAGCGAGCGCTGCGGCTGCACCCGGCCGCAGCGCAGCATGAGGCGCCGTGCCAGGGCAGCACGCCTATAAGACACGCACCGCACCACGCCCGCATCCTTCCTCCCCACCAACACGCAACTTCGTCCTCCTCTTCGGCCTCGCAAGGTATGTCTGCTGTCCAGGCCACCACGCAGCAGACGCATCACGCCCTGGCTGACACGGTCCCTCCCGCATCCGAAGCCTCGCTCATCCGCCGCTCCGCATCAACCCTCTCCTGTCCAGCATGACCACCAACAAGACCGTCCGCAGCGGCAATAAGGTCCACACCCGCGGCATCATCCGTGCGCTTCGGCCCATCAAGAACAAGGCCCGCACTGCGATCCTGGGGTGAGTGCAGGCCACGAGCGCTACTGAGTGCCTGCGCTGACCACCTTCCAGCTACCAGTACAGCATGGGTCCCGTCTGCTTCTACATCGACGTCGAGAAGATGCCTCAGTCCAAGTGGGAGAGGGACCTTCCAGTGGAGAGCCGCAAGGCCTGGATTGTCTCGTTCCCCAAGCGCGCGCGTAAGGTGAGCCGCCTGCAAGCCTGCTTGACACGCACGGCTTACGCTTCTCCGCTTAGGACTTTGCGCTCGAGTTCTATGCCGTCGCAGACGACGGCATCTCGCGCGGCGCTCGCCTGGCGCGCTTCAACAAGATCGACAAGAAGAAGGTGGACCAGCTGGAGGCTGCCGGCCTCGTCGTCGTCACCAGCTGAGGCGCACTGCCATGACGCACGGTCCGCACGTTGACCTGCGTTGCCCTCCCTTCGCTCGCTCCCCCTACCCCCTGTACCATGTAGCTCTCTTGCAGACACCCTCCAAGAAGAATCATGCTACTTGAACCCTCTCGATGCGCTGTGCTGCTTCTCGTGACGCGGGTCCTGCTTGCCCCTTGCCCCTCTCGTCTCTGCGCCGTCTCGGCCCTGTGCAGTATCGTCTGACGCTGTCGCTCGTGCTCGTGCTCGTGCTCGTGCTCGTGCTCGTGCTCGTGCTCGTGCTCGTGCTCGTGCTCGTGCGCTGCGGACGCCCTCGCTTCTTCGCACGGCGGGCATGGCGTCAGCCTGCGGTGAGCCCTCGAGCTTGTCGCTGCGCTTGCGGCTGCAGATGTGAGCTTCGTGTGCGTGCGGCGCAGACATCGTAAGCACACTCGGCTGCGTTTGCGCAGAACCTAGGCGTCGCTGCGCTCTGCTGCTCTTCGCTGCTCTGCTCTTCTGATCCTGACTCGAGGCGCGGCCGAAGGGATGTCAAGATGTGTCAATCGTCATTGGTATCGCTCGTGATGATGAAAGGATGGTGACGCGCGCGCTTCCCCTGCTCTCTCTGCCTCTGCTCCCCCCACTCTCTCCTCCCAGGCCCCTCTCTCCTCCGCCTTGGTGCTTCGCGTCGAACTCAGTCCGCCGAGATGTGCACTGCTCGGCAAGACGCATCAGCGGAGCGCTCCCGAGTTGCAGGACGCGAGACAGGAGGGCAGAGAGTAGAGGGCCACGCACATAGCCAGTCGCCCGCCGCGTGCACTGCCCGTCGAGTGCTTCGTCAGTTGGAGCGAGGAGGCGGAGATAAGCGCACTGGAGCACACACCGCATTCGCCGCCGCTGATCACTTGTGTGCTGTGTTGGCAGACAGGCGCGTGAGACTCTTGAGCAGACAGCAGCAGGAGAAAAAAAGGGGGG